GTCCGATGGTTAATGTCGGCACGCAGTGCTGTCATCTCCGAATTCGAATCTCTGAATCCGAATAACGTACCTGTGTTCATCTACGTAAAGTATTTGACTTATTCCCTGATGTTATGTATAATTGGGAAACTTTCTGTAAATGAAGTAAGATACTCTTGTCAAACATGTGAGTTTATGATTACGGTACCACCGAGGCGAATCCGCGAGGTCATTAAATCACTTTGCAGACATATTTTAATCTCAATAATCGTTTTGCTTTCCTTAAACACACTGCATGTCGGTTTGTAGATTTATATGAACACATTGCGAAGATGCCGTACTCAGAGTCAGCTTTCCATTGATAAGTAAAATAAGGAATGGAGTTAAACAATTGATGCAGATGACCATCTGCCGATGATGTAAATTCAAACTCACGACCGCAGCATCACGCAGTGACTTTCTTGAGTGACAGACAGAGAAGAAACTACAGGAAATGCAGCTTTATGTTTTTCGACATTTTTCAGTCAGTTCAGTCAGTCTCGATGACCGTTTACTCTTTGGTGGACGCAGGTGCGTCAGACAGTGTCTCCTACGTTACTGATGTTGTGCCATAGTTTGAATTTCGTGAGAAGATAACTCAAATCTGGAGCATAATGTGTCGAGACACTGGTCCAAGGTCATTCTTAGCCGTCTCCTTTGGAGGGGCAAGTAGTAGTGGTTTCGTCCTCTTTCTGGAAGCATTCGCAAGAAATGCTCAAACCATCGCAACTAGTTTTTCACTCTGGAAGAGCAACGATTGCATACCAAGGTTTTCGTGGATATCGGAACTCCGGACTCTGTCAACATGCTTAAGCCCAGCGAGTCGTCTCAGATAACCCATTTGTATGCTTGTACCCGAGATTGAAGTTTCTGTCATAGTCCACGACTCATGACTGATTAACATTTTTCAATACATGTAAATTTTAGCGTTTTTTCACCGAATCGTATGGTGATTATTCATCGATTGCTAATGTTCCAACTGATTCTGGTCCGAGCGGTTCTTCAGAGAAGAAGAATGGTGCTCTCGTTTACCCTGAATCAAGGGTACGTTGATGACATTTTGTTTTATTGTTTCTCGATTTTAAGTTCGATGTACACTAGAATTAGCTTACACCAATACTGTCGCATAATACTACTCATACAAGTCATTGCACGGGTATGCAGCGATGTTGTACAGTCGTTTGCTTGCAGTATCTAATTGTAATTTGGTAATAATTTTGAACGAGAGTCCGCATGTACTGTTTATTCGATACAACGGTATAATATATAAAATCTCTTGCACTTAAGATCCCGCATGAATACTGCCGCAGCGCAGAAATCATCAGGATAGCGTAAAGCCATGCATATGCAGATATATGTTATTATGACGTTCTGCTCACCGAAATTTTCCTTCATTTCGTTCTGTTTGATCATTCTAGATTTACTTGTCATTCATGTTGAGATCTGAAGTTCGATGTTTGAATAGTTGTACAGTTGCACTGGTCATCCTTTTTCAAGCTACCAGTAAATCATATTATAAAACGTATAAACTACCTGTTTAGTAAACGAAGATTGCTTTGGGGGGGGGGTGAGTTACATTGGGGCTTGTTCTCCTTCAGCCGCTAGACTAGTTTGACAACAACGCTCTGAAGGCTGATTATAAAATTTCCCCTGGTGGTCATAACTACCCACTGATTGGAAAGCGACTTCCATTGCTCAGCTGGTCGGCAAATAAGCTCGTGAGTAAGCCATGGCTGCCTCTGATTTACAAACAGGGACGTACTCGCATTGATGAAATGGCTGCTCTAACACGCTTTGCTTTTCCTTTGCTCCAAGAAGACAGAGTATAGAAAACAACGAGTCAGAAAAAATGAACTTCAATAGTGTTTCGGCCCTGTTTCAGGTCAAAGCAGTAGCTCGAGGACTTTCTTCTAGTTGGTGAAATAATCCCCTGTCAACTACATCATGGTAATGCCTGCCTAATTATAAAATCAAGGGTGATAATATGAACCATATATGTTACCAGGGCATAATAATATCATATGGGGTATGACAGGTAGAATTTTTCTGCCTCGGATGTTGCACAAAGGAAAGACACTTTCGATCTCTAAATTATTCAGAGCAAAAGAACGAGAGTTCTGTAAAAGCTGTATCAGAAAATTAATATAGTTATGTCGTTCAAAAAAGTCGATTTGTACTCAAAGAGGTAATTTATTTTGCAGTTTGAGGCATTATTGTATGAGATTTAGATAATTTAGGAGGATATAAAATAGGTCTAGAGTTCGACAAGGTTCCTCAATTTTGTTTTCTGTAAGGTAAATTCAGTGCTTGTTGTTTAGAATGAAGCTCCCGTTGATGCCGCTGCTGAGGCTGAAGGAGAGCTGGCGCGGTACCTGAACAGGCAGTATTGGGAAAACGTACGGAAGGAGCAAAAGAGTAACGCGAATGCAAGGCGCCGTTCACCAACTCCGTCAGCGCCGGCTGCACCTGCAGTGAAAATCGTGAATGGAACGGCGGATACGGTGGACGCAGATCCGGATGGGGTAGTCAGCGCGTTCATCGGGCCACTAGACGAAGATCGGTGCGCGACCATCCAGCAGTTCTCACAGAACTTATTAGAAACCATTTTGCTGTTCTGCAACCGGATCAAAATGGACCAGAACCGCGGCCGATCGCTGATCTCTGATAGCAGCGTGCAGACGATGTTCATGACACTGACGAGCATGCATTCGCAGTTGCTGAAGTACCTGCAGGAAGTGGACGACAATCGAAGTAAAATTTTTAGCCATACAACCTCAGATCGGATGGATCAACCCTTGCCACATTAGTCTCCACTTTTTCTCATCCGATAGGCTACCTTTTCGAGTGTTTAGCTGCACTAGTCGTATGGCTGAAACTGATGCATCCAGAGAGTCTGCTTACGACTGCAATGAATGTTAGCGCCCTTAGTGACATTACCGAGTTAGCGAACGGTCCAATGTATTTCTAATCGCGTTGGAAAAAGCAAGTCAGGGTGGAGACACCGCTTTGCCTCTGCTGATATCCTTTCATTGATTGACGTCTTAAATGTTTTTCTAACATTGTTTTGTTCAGGGCAAGTAGGGTATTCCGAGAGGTTCTATTAGGGCTAAAGAAATAAATTTGAACCTGTTCTCCCAGTTTAAATTGATTAAGGCTTGCTCCACCTGATTTTAAACCCTTACTTTTTTTTCAGCAATATAAAATTTTCAGTAAAACTAATTAAACTGTAAACGTAAGACTGATTCTCCAGCTTTACTGTTTACTAGTCACAAATTCCCTCAGAGCAAGAGAACGGTGATACTTGGTTTTTCTTGGTATTCTAATTTCGTACTTAGGTATACTCTTAAGGTGATGATCTCAACAAGCGCATCCAGACGGCATCAAAGCATGAAAGAATCACTGTACATTTTTGAGGTAGAAACAGTGTCCAAAGACAGCGTCAATTCGTTTGACAACTTTGGAGCATAAGTTTTGGTTAGTTACATACTGTAGCATTAACATTCAGTTTTATCTCTTGGTGCATCGATTCCTTGCAGTTTTTTGCGTTTGCTTGAATGATTGCCATTGATGTTTAAGCGAATCGTTAGCAGTAGCTCAGGAAAACAGTTTGAACATCGATTTCCTGATGGTACTTGTACTCAGGGTATCATTTCAGCATATCTTAAGTGCTTTTGCGTTAATCCTTGTTTATTATTTTGTAATTATTGTTTTTTGCCCTTTGTGTAGATTTGCAGTTTATAGTAGCACTATTTGTACTAATACTAATCATCAGTACCTAAACTAATATAACTAATGATAGAGAACGATTAGTGACTAATGCGTGTCTATTTCTTACCTAGAATGGTACTCGTTTTTCATGAGAGGAGAAGCAAATTCCTCTTTCATCATCCAGATACCCTTTTGTGAGATTGTATCTCCAAAAGAAAGAGCTGTTTTGCCAGTTTCACAAACTGTGATCTCTCATAGAAACCCAGCAAATGAAATATTTATACTTCTCAGTTGTTTTTGCCGTCATTCGACAAACTGATTTCAGATGCCCTAATGAATGGTTTAGTTACCAGATTGAGTTTATGACTTTGAAATGATCGGCAGAAATTAGTGCAGCGTCATTCTGTGACCTATGTCAAATGTATCTAGACATACAATATGCCGTTTATGGCTATTTTATTCATAAAATATATTTTTATATTTTGTGTTATAGTTTTTGCTTATGTTGCATCGCATGAATTGGGGTTTGACGATTCGTGCTAAAATCGTGAATTTTGAAACATCTCGCAGCTTCTGTTTTGCTTTGTAGCCTACTTCGAGACGCTACAGGACAAGCTGACGCAAATACGGGATGCTCGTGAAGCAGTCGACGCGCTGCGCGAGGAACACCAGCAACGCAGACAGTACGAAATGATGGAGCAGCAGCGTCAACGCCATCTGCAGATGGTAGCGAAACTGGAGTCTATGCGCATCAAGAAGCACGAGATGCTTGAACAGCAGAGACTGATGGCCTTGCAGAAAATCGACGAGGAAGAACGCGAGATGGCCCTCAGGAAGCAGGCTATGCTACAACAACAAGCTTACGTGGCAGGTGAGTTCCTTTTGATAGCTCACTTCTGCTAACAGGTGCGAAGAATGACGAGTTTCGATGTGTAGATACAGTTTAGGGAGGGTCATCGGTCTGGGTTTGAGGTAGGCACCGGTCGAACCACCTGCTCAAAAGTGCGAATCACAGGTCTCCAAACCTTTAACTTCATGCATTAAAATTTGTCTAATTTTTGAAAAGAAAATCTTGTTATATGTTTGATGCCAATGGCATGAAATGTAATTGCGATTTATAAATATCACGGTTCAGAGTAATAGTCTTAAAATTAATTCGCAGTTCATTCGAAACATGATTTGTAGCTTTACCGCATTAGTTAGAAGCTTCAGCTTACATCAAAGCCAATGTCGTAAACTGAAAAACGGCGGTAACAGTGCTGAGATTTTTGCATAGGGGTAGGCTTAGTAACTTCCAGTAAAATAGCAAATCGGTTTCTGCCCATACCAGCATGGATATATTACCACTCTATCTATTTGCAGTGTGAGGAGATGATCTACCACCTACTATATTATTGTAGCAGAATTAAAGGCAGAAATATTAATGTTAGAAGACGAAGTAGGAGCACCTATTCAGAACGAATATTTTGTAACTGTTTATTAAATTCATCCGTTAATCTAATGCGTTTTATTGTAATAAAAGCAAAGATCGTTCTGCTACCGTATCACCCATCCATTATTAAAATTTATGTACTAAGCATGAGCTTCCTAAACGTAATCTAAATGAAAATTTGAATTTAAATTTATTTGCTATGAATTAACGTTGCTAAGCCGTTGCACGTGCTAAGCCACAGCGGCGCTTACAAGAGAAAACATTTATTCTGTACTGATTGACATTTTGTCCTGAAACTTTTAAATTCAAATTTTAAATCGTTCTGATAATGTAATGATTATTTTTAAAAAAGCAAGATAGAAGAAGTCATTTATTCAGAAGTCAAATGTGACAGTTGATAAAAAACAGGCGGTTGTAAGTCGCAAAAGTATATTTAATGAGTGAAGCTTTAGAAACGCACAACATTGTTCCTTCTTCGGCAAAAAATAATGTGAG